CCTTGCAATTATTCTGGGTCATCTTCCCCTCAGACCCCCCGCCCTTGCCATCCCCCGAGTCACCAGCCCCAGGAGTCTCTCCTCTCCTCTCCTCTCCCCGCTGGTGGGATGGGCGGTGGGATGCAGCGGGGGGGCTCTGGCCGGGGAGCAGGGCCAGGTGAGGATGACTTTCCCCAACCTGTTCATCCTGCACCAGCTCCGGGGCTCTCCGGTCCCTGGGAGCGGGAGGACCACGGCTCAGAGCAGAATCGGGCCCCAAAGCCAGCAGAGGCAGGAGGGGTTCTGCCTCGTTGAGGGAACAGTGCGGGCCACCAGAACAAGCCGGGTGGGAAGGGCGGCAGAAGGAGATGCTGCAAGGAAATTCGTTCCCCTGGGATTCTCAGGGCCAGCAGCTTTGTAACTGTCTCCAGAGGCCACAGGCCTAACTGCAAGAGTGATGGCACTGGGGGGGAAAAGGTGAACCAGGGCAGAACGGGGGCATTGCCAATCCAGGCGTGGACAGTGCGGGCCACCAGAACAAGCCGGGTGGGAAGGGCGGCAGAAGGAGATGCTGCAAGGAAATTCGTTCCCCTGGGATTCTCAGGGCCAGCAGCTTTGTAACTGTCTCCAGAGGCCACAGGCCTAACTGCAAGAGTGATGGCACTGGGGGGGAAAAGGTGAACCAGGGCAGAACGGGGGCATTGCCAATCCAGGCGTGGCAAACTGCTCCAAGCAGAGATAAAAGGAAAAGCCTCAGGTGGTTACAGAGAGGGTGAGAAAATAGGGAGAAGCAGAAGGAAGGGGAAGGGTCAGAATAGAGCCACTAGCTCAAACTGGGGAGCACTGATCCATCCACAGAAAGATTAAGTTGACATCTGCTCCAGTCAAGGCACAGAGCAGGTCTATACCTTTCTGGAATATACTGCTTGGGTGTACCCTATAGATGAAGACGGGAGAGGGAGTCTGAGCTGGTAGGACCAGAGGTCACTGGCAAAGGCGAGTAGTCTCAGGACTAGGTTAGCAGTCTTGTTTGCTGGATTTGTAACTGTGGGGTGTCTGGAGACGAGAGCGGCCCTAGCAGAAACACTGGGTGGGCGAGGTGTGTAGCTGGAAGACTTGTGCAGGATATTGGAGTGGTGGCACACACCCGTGGATGCGATGGGTTGGGAGCAGCAGGTTAAAATCCAGAGTGCTGGCAGAGAAAAGCTGAGGTCCAAAGACTGGCGGAGCTGTGGGAGCTGTACAGCAGGAGCAAGGGGTGTTACAGCGGGTGCATGGGGAGGGCAGGACCGGAACGGCAAGGGGCAATGCAGATCAGGCCTTCCATTACAGAAATGGCATTAGAAATGCTCTGGGTGGGGAGCCTCAGACTGGAAGGGCAGGGAGCGCAGTGTCTCAGCAGCACTGGAAGGAGTTGCTGGGGGCCAGAGTCTGGCCTGAGGTATGCAGGGACTGGTGCAAATCTGGCTTTTCTGTTCCCTGAAAGACACAGGGAGTGCTCTGCACTGTCTAAATCGTGACAAGTTGTTTGTGTGGGCAAGGAGAGAGAGAGAGATCTGGAGAGATAGACTGATCTTATATTACTTTTTCTCTTTTCTCTCTTCTACAGTGAACCTCATGCCCTGAATCTCCAAGGGAACCTTTGAAAAGGATTTTCCCCTCCCCACCATCTCCTTATTGTTTGCCAGCTCTGCCCTGCGCTGTGCAGGAAAGCTTGAAAGAGCAGGCTGAGCCCTGGAGGACAGCAAAAAGGACAATGTAGTGAGAGTGCCATGAGGTCTTGAATACGGAACCCTCTGAATCTTGTTCCTCGCCCTTCACTCTCTGTTGATAGCTCTCTGACAGCCTTGGCAGGAACCTCTACCTGGCCACGAGTGTGGCATTTGGTGAGAGGGGGATTACACACGGTGTATGCGCCGCCCTCACCATTTCCGCAGGACCTTTGTCCTGCCTCCTGTCATCTCTGAAACTCTTGGCTAGCTCCTCATTCACTAGGACGCTGGGCAGCAGGCACTTGCTACTACCAAACTGTTTGGAGTCCCCAGCAGTCCCTGTTTGCATGTGGCCTTCACCAGTCCCAGCAGAAGGTGGTCCCTGAGACAGAAGGTGCTTGGTGGGCACATGAAGTAAGGAGAGCCTTTTCTTTGGGGGAGAGTGGAAGAGGGGGATGAAATAGATGGGGAGGAAAAAAAAAAGTGAGCCCAAGCGAGTGAGGGAAGCAGCACTGGCAAGCGTTCATGAGAAAGAGAGACAAAGAAGGTGGAAGAAAGAAAAAGAAAGAGAACAAGGGGAAAAACAGGTGAAGAAGTTAGAATAAAGGAAAGAAATATAATCAAACAGACGGGAAAGGGAGGACTGACAGTGAGACAGAATTGCTGGCTGTTCCGCCTAGCACCTGGTGGCAATGCCTTGAGGAACCCCTCCAGTGTGCATACACCTCGCATCACAGCAGCAGCAGCAGCAGCAGATGAAGAGGGACGTGGCTCCCCCAGCGCGGAGTCCCACTTGCCCTCTTAAAAAATCCCAGTGGCAGGGACAGGGTGCAGCCTAGCAGGGGTGGCAGCATGGGGGACTCTGAATCAGAGTCCACCTTGCACAACAACTCACTGTGGTGGCTGGCATGTGGGATGTTAGCCCTGTTGGCCAACTCTTGGATTATCCTCAGCATCACGGCCAAACAACAGAAACACAAGCCCCTGGAGCTACTGCTATGCTTCCTTGCTGGGACCCACATCCTTATGGCAGCAGTACCCCTCACCACCTATGCCGTGGTGCAGCTGCGGCGCGAGTCCTCTGACTACGACTGGAATGAAAGCATCTGCAAGGTTTTTGTCTCCACTTACTACACCCTGGCCCTGGCCACCTGCTTCACAGTGGCCTCCCTTTCCTACCACCGGATGTGGATGGTGAGATGGCCAGTCAACTACCGGCTGAGCAATGCCAAGAAGCAGGCTCTGCACGCAGTCATGGGTATCTGGATGGTATCATTCATCCTCTCCACCCTGCCCTCCATCGGCTGGCACAACAACGGCGAGCGCTACTATGCTCGTGGCTGCCAGTTCATTGTCAGCAAGATAGGGCTGGGTTTTGGTGTCTGCTTTAGCCTCCTGCTGCTCGGAGGAATCGTCATGGGCTTGGTGTGCGTGGGTATCACTTTCTACCAGACCCTGTGGGCACACAGAAGACGCCGGCGGTGCCGCCATCAGAGGGCAGAGGAAGCGTCATCCTGCTCTTCATCAGCACACACCACTTTCAATGTGCCGGCCATTGTAGTGGAGGATGTACGAGGCAAAAGGAGGTCTTCACTGGATGGCTCTGAGTCAGCCAAGACCTCCTTGCAGATGACCAACCTCATCAGCGCCATTGTCTTCCTGTATGACACTCTCACTGGGGTGCCTATCTTGGTAAGCAGCAAGTTCTCCCTTTCCCTTCACTGCGTCTGCAGTTAAACTAGATTTCCATTTCTCTCAAGTTTTAAAGAAGAAACACTGTCTTCTGTTCACCAGCCACAGAGTTGCCGCATCTGAATCTGTGTTATTCTGAGGGCCGGTTTTAAAAAGATTGCAGAAATTCTCTCATCCTTCCACAGCAGCATTTTCTTAAGACAAGTCTAAGCCTGGGGAATACACACCACACAGCTAAAACCACTGTGAAAGTTTTAAGTGGCTAAGAGGAGAGGAAATTATTCTGCAGACTTACAGGGGCATCTACCTCTGTAAAAACAATGAGATTTCTATCTCTCCAGTTTGCTTCTGGACAACTGATACACCAGCTTTAAAAGCTGTGGCAGACAGTTTTCTTTTTCCTTCTGCTTGTTCAGTCATAGTCAGCATTCAGGTTTTGGCTGGCTGGTTGCAAAACTGGATTGCTGGGGAAGTTCTCAAAGGGAACCAGTAAGAGGACGGAGGCTTAGTCACAGCTTTTTTTTTCCAGTGGCTGTGTCCTTTGTTAGCACCTGCTTAGCTCCAGCTCATAATTAGCATGGGAAGAAGGGATGCTAACACCAGGTCTCCTATTAGAGATATGACAGCTCAGAATATGGTCGAGCAAACCTGGGGCAACACCCAGGAACAGTTTTTCAAAGGGACATGAGGTAATTACTTGACGAATCCTTTACAGATTACATTCTGCTACAGAATTGACTCCCATTATCTTTCTCCTTTGATCTCCACTTCTGTCTTCTTTCTCGGTGTTGTTTCTCTTTCTTACCTCAAAGGTCGTGAGCTTTTTTAGCCTGCGCTATGATACGGCCCCCACCTGGATGGTCCTGGCTGTGCTCTGGTGCTCCATGGTGCAGACTCTGCTGCTCCCCTCCTTTATTTGGTCCTGCGAGCGTTACCGAGCAGATCTCCGCACCGTGTGGGAGCAGTGTGTGGCTATCATGTCTGAGGAAGACGGAGATGATGGTAAGCTCCTCACCACCCCACAGTCACCTTTCTTCCTTAACCCTCTCCCCAAAAGACTACAGAGGAAAGAGAGCTCTGTCTTGGGAAAACGACCTGACAGCACTAGGAGTGGTGTGGGTGGCTAGGTGGGATTTGTGTTCTAGCTTGGAGTCAGCAACCCTGAGAAAATTTATTCTGGAGAAGGCTCTGTCACTCACTTGCTGCCTTAGGACTCACTAGCATCCAGGAAAAATTAGTGCAGCAGTAGATGCAAGAATAGAGACCATGTGTACTGCCACCAAACCACAACGCAAGTGACATGCTGGGCCTCAGCCCAACTTGCTGATCCAAAGGTCCAAGTTCTGGCAGTGAGTGATTCAAAAGTGAGACAGAAGAATCAGGGCAGTCTCTGGGTGCTTTAGTGCTGGGTGCATTAGTGCTGTTGCAAGCAGAAAGATGAGGTCCTTGTTCAGAGGTGAGCCCTGAGGGCTGCAAGTAGGGTGGCAGAATTCAGACAAGCCTTAGGATGGCTTCCAGGTGCCCTGATAACGCTCCTCTTCTGGCTTAAAAGTGTTGACTACCGTTCTCCTCTTTGCCAACAGATGGTGTGTGTGATGATTATGGTGACAGCAGGATCTGCAAAGTGAGATTTGATGCAAACGGTGCTGCAGCTGTGAAGCGGGACTCCCGGGACATCAAGCTGCTACCCATGCACCACATGTTGTTGCCCCAGGACAAGGTGCACTACCTGCAGGTGAGCTGAGAGCTGGCATGGGCAGCCCCACAACCCACTCTCTTCTTTGTCAGTCTCCCACACCTTTGTGTCCTCTTGGCTCTTCTCTGAGAAAGCCTCAGCTGCTCCCTCTGGTTCTGTCTCTTCTAGTCTTCCATCACCTGCCTCCTTCTCTGTTTTCCAGGTCCCTATCTCCCGGAGAATGTCACATGATGAGACTAACATCTTCTCTGCCCACCGCTCTGCTCCATCCTTCCTACACAAGTGGTCTTCATCTGACGACATCCGCATTTCCACCCCCCGCAAGCCTGGCAGCCCCAGCTTCTTGCCTCCTCAGCTGCATGACTACCAGCACCGCCGGCGGCCCCCAGAAGATGAGCTGACAACCCTACGGCAGTTTTTGGAGGGGGGGCTGATGCCGCGGGCCTCCAGCTCCAGCGCCTGCTTCTTCCGAGATGAGATCACCACGTTCATCGACGAGACACCGCAACCCACCCCAGCCTGCAGCCCACGGCACTCCCGTCTCCCGCTCGCATCGCGCCGCGATCGCCGCCTCTCCCTGGGCAGCAGAGAGGAGAACGCTGACCGGCCACGGCGCTGCTCTTTGGCTGGCAACGAAGGCTGGCATCTGCAGGACGGAGAGCAGGCGCCACGTGAAAGGACCCTTGAGGCCTGCGAGGCACAGACCTTTCAAGATCCCAAACTATGAGAGACAGCATCAAAAACATTCAGTGCCATCACGATTTTTAAATAAAACTTCAAGTGTTCCCTTTGTCCCGGGACCCGATCACTAATTTGCATTCTCATCTTTCTCGCCAGCAGGCAGGAAACACGGCACCCCACACTGGTGGGGAAAAAAGAAGTGGGACAGATCCTCAGAAGGCAGCACAACGGATGGATGGATGGCCTGTGCCTGCTCTCAGGTTACAAACACACCCTCCGCTGCCACCGCCACTTGGCACTCTCGCCAGTCCTGTCCCTTTGTGAACTCCACCCTTGCATCCGCTCTGCCCTAAGAGACGAGGCAGGCGCAGAATGGTATTAAAATTCTATATTTGGAGTGTCAATCGTGTGTCTGTTTTTAAAATAATGTATTAGTAATAATTTTGTTTCCATAGAAACAAAATGACTGGCCCAATGTTTAATGAAGCTTCACAGGCTTCTGGAAGGGGAATGCGGAATGTGCAAGGCTCCTTTCCTCCCTCTCCATCCCTTTCTTGTCAGCACATGTGGAAGGCAGCAGATGCTTAGCAGCCCAGGAAGGGAACAAAGCCCATAGAGGGGTTCTCATGGGAGACCAGGTGAAAAGTTTTCCTTTCCATTTCAGGGCAGACTTAAGCTGCCTACAGCTAAGCAGGAGCAGCCTATGTGCTTTCTAATATCACTCAGCAAAAGGTACTGCTTTGAGGCAACCCCATACTTGAAAACAATTACATTGTCTCCAAAAAGACCCTGACCCATGACATTTCATTTCACCAATGCAAACTGTTGATTCCAGTGCAAACTTTGCATGAAACACACTGGCCCAAAGTTCTCATCCATACAGAAAAGCTGACAGAGCCTTCCAGGGAGAAGGGCCCTGACTGCCCACGCTGTCAAATCTGGGAGTGGTGAGGTCTGAAGCAGGCTCCTGCCCCACGCAAAACTCTTGGGAGGGAGGTGGAGAAGGAGCGTGTGGCAGATCGACCTTCTCCTGCCCGGTGCTGGCTGTAGTTCCAGCCATGGGCAAGGGTTTGGCTGCATCAGATGGGCTGTGAGAGATAAGTAGCCCTTCACCTCCAAAGCCCTTCTCCATGTGATGGGAACTGGTCTATGAACTGTCCAAGCGTGCCTCATCCCCAGCATGCATTCTGATAGATTAACTGTAACCTCTTACAAGACATCTCGTTGGAGGGGTGTGGGTGACCCTTCCCAAGGGAGGGTTAGTGCTGGGGGATGCTTGGCAGATGCCTGGACAAAGGACCACGTCAGACGATGAGGTGCCAGTGATCTGCTGGCCCACGCAGGACCAGTACCGGGCTGGTCCCGGCGCCCATGAAGTGGCGGCAGGTCTCAGCTGGCACAGCAGGACCTGCTCCCGCGGAGGGACGTGGGGACGGAGCCC